ATCAATAACTAACAATAAGTTAGATTTGTTATTATATAGATTATGGAATTTATATTATAATATGGGTAATGAATAGATTCATTTATATAATACAGTACAATTGTTGTCAATACAAAATAATATATATAGTATAATATATAGTATAATATAGTGTAATATATTTATATCTTTCTCTTCTGCATTATACATATGCTTTTCTAATATGTGCATAATTTTTTATTTTCATTATATTGTTTGGATTAGTTTCAATAAAAACATATGTTGTGTTTCTTATTATAAATTTCTATTAATTTGTTTTATTTCTAATTCCATTTGGATTCCAACTACAAATGATCAAGTGCTTTATGAACCTAATTCTTAGCAGTATTACACATTCTAAACTATTCAATTTATGTCTGATTAATTTGTAGTCTTAAATTTAAAACTTTTGTCATGTTTTATGTACTTGAGATATTGCATTTGTACAGTTTCTTGATTTCAATTAGAAATAATATAAATAACATAAAATCTGAAAAATCCTTATTGTCATTAATTCTGTTATTAATATTATTACTTACACAAATATTATTAATGATATTGGAGTTACAACTATTGCTTGTATTGTTTGTTACTCAAATATTGTCAATCTTTTCCTCTTCTCTATTATATAATGTGATATTTATCTTAGAAAGATTTAGAAATTTTGTTTGAGTATATATTTTTTTTTTCAATTTTTCCTTCGTTCAATCAAAGTTTCCTTTATTTGTTATTATTTCTTTTCTGTCTTATATTTTGGATAACTTTTGGATAATTTATCTATTTTCAATAAATTTTGGATAATTTTTAATATATTTGACAGATTCATTAAGTGTGTTTCTTGAAAACATGTTTCAACCATTATTGTTAGTCGTTTTGTAATATTAAATAAATGTAAACAAATAAGTAAATATAAAATAATAACATTAAATAAATTGTAATATTAAAATATTCAATATTTTTTATTAATTTTAGCTGAATATTGATCGCGATTAGAGATCTCCAAAAAATATTACATCAATGAACCAATTTTTGAATGAAAGGACAATTTAATTTTACGAAACTCGTATCAGAAGAACAAATAATGAATTTAGATAATACAGCAGAGAATACACTCTTCACGTAACTGGCTAACAGTCGGAACCGAAACTCAGTTGAGCAAGGTCATGTATTCCAGGAATTAGCATCGAAAGAAAAAGTGGAGATGAGCATCAACTATTTCACCGATACTAGGCATCGATATCGGTATCATATAGATAAAGATGATATAATTGCAGTTAATGTTAATCCAATTGAATACTGTCATTCTTTATTGTTGCCACAAAGATATAAACTACTTCAAATTATAACAAAATATAGCTTATTTAAGGCTATTGAATTAGCTAAGTTCGTCTTTGTAAGTATATTCAATTTTTAAAGAGATTGTTAATTTACACTAAATAAAGAAACAATTATTTCATAATTCTATTTTATTTTTGAAATTTCTAATTTTATATTATAAGATATAACGTTCAGTTGCGTATTCCCAATTTAATAAAATAGGTTAAAATTTTTGATTATAATTAATATAACATTTGACATATTGCAATTGTTATAATATTATATTATATTATATGTATAACATTTAATATTATTACTAATAATCAATTAATATGTAATATATTGCTATAATACATTACTATTATAATACTATTAGAAAATGAGGATATCTATAATCAGTGCAGATATATCGACAGAGTATTATCAAGTGAAATATTAGCTTTTTACTTTTTTCTTTGCTTTATTATACACTTCTCGTTACTCAAGCACGTAAGAGACGTAATATATTCTACATTATTTTTATACTCTATATACCATTTAATAAAAAACCCATTGCGTTTAATAATCCTGTCAACTGTAAATATTTTTTATTACACCTTTTAAATCATTTTGTGTTGTAAGTTCTGTATAATATACATATATGCATATTACAATAGATGTCTTATATTTTAATTTTATAATTTTATTCTCTCATGAAATTAAACTGAGAAATCTAAATTATAGGAACACTATTACTTATTTCATAATCCTACTAGAATATTTATATGTATTTACACTAATCAACGTAACTCATTATTTTCTACAAAATTGTATTAATAAAACTTTCTTAAAAAACAATTTAATCATAGTGATAATATGAATGTTTACTGTTATAATACTACGATAAATTTTTTAGATGAAAAAATACAATTTTTTGAATATTTTACTGTTCATAAGAAAATAATATATTAACTTCAAAGTTCAAATGTTCAAAAATATTGTTTTGTATCTTGTATTTTTTTTTTAACTATTGTATAGGATTATAATTAAAAAATTATGTATTATGACTTTAAGAGGTGATTCTTCAAATTTGTTTAAAAAGTGAGTTGCAAAATTAACTTTGAATATGATTTTCAAATTTTTATTGCATTGTATTCTACTCATTGTATTTTACTCAGTAAAAATCAAAAAATTATGGATCACAACTCAACATGGTTCTCTCAGAAAAGATGTCGAAATTTTATTAGTTTTCGTATTCATTTTATTTGTTTCATTTATTTATTTATTTAACATAAAAAAAATAGTATCTATTGTTGCGTGTAAACATTTACCATAAATTCACCATTCCATGTCTTCCTTTCTTTCTTCCCTTCTTTTTTCATTTTGCTATTCAAAACAGCCCCAAAATCGCATTTCTATATTTCTTTGTCTTCATTGAGGCATAATTGAATAACTTTGTATAGATGTTACATGTATTTTAAAAAAATCGCAACTTGTTACCAAATATATCTGCAAGTTTCTGTTGCCAAATGTCGCTGCTTGTTGCTTGTTTCCATTTGAAGCCGTGTCGCTTAACGTTTCTATTGCATCGTTATCATCGACGCAGTCCCGTAACAAAATGTTTGTTAAGATCAATTATATGTATTATTTATGACATGAACGTGCTCAAGAACGTACTGAGCGTGTCAAATTAAGAATTTTTAGATTCGTAATTTTTGTTTCATCTCTCATGTATAAACTATTTAAAGAGAATTTGCATGGGATTTTTCACACAATAGCAATTGCTTATGTCATAAATACGCGCGCACCAGAAGTACCGTGCAGATAACAGGTTGATTTCCAAAAGATGATGAATCCGTTTCCCAGACTTGCCATCCCGCGCGAATCACTTTCATGGGTGATAATGAGAAATTCTGGAATACTTCCTAATTAGCCTTGTTCTCTCCATTCTAAATCTTTTGGAAAGGGCAAAACAAGATCTTATGATTCTAAAGAGAGAATTCTGAAGAGTCAGGACAAGTTTAGTGACTAATCATTCAGAATTAAGTTCAGTACTTCAAGTTCAGTTATCCGTGTAATTAACAATTTTTTCATGGAATAATGATTTAATTCAATTAATTGAAGAATATAAAATATACGAATGCTTATGTGTTTCTTCAAATAAAAATTACAAGTTCAATTACAAGTGCAGAAGATGAATAGCAAGAAATTAGTAATATTTTGAATGTAAATGTAGCAGAAATTAAATGCCGAATGAAAAATTTAATGAATCAGTTCTACAAAGAACAAAGAAAAGAAGTTCTACAAAGAACTGAATCTGTGTTTATTTCAAAATGGTTTGCACATGATTCCATGTTATATCTTCGGAATAAAAATAAAATCTGAGAAACTACTGATGAAGGTTTAAATGAGAGTCAGATAAATTTTTAATTTAATACATGTATATTTTATTAATTATAATTTATTCGACTAAATTATAATATTTAACTTACTTTTCGTTAACAATAGTTATATTATCGAACTTCATCTTCTGATGATAAGAAATATTCGATAAATTTTTCATGAAAAATTACATGCTATATTCTAATTAAAGGACTTGATTGTTCTTCTATTTCTCGTCTTCATGAATTAGATATAATCTTTGTATTTCCATTTTCAAAATCGAATGTTCCCATTAGTATATATAACATTTTAAATAATGGTTTTTCTATGCCTAAGGAAACTTATACAAGAGGCAGTGAATTTTTTCAGTTTCTGCCGGATATACAAGTAATGGCTTTTGTATTACTCTGAATCTTGCCGACAAAATCCCAAAGATATTCTCTCATATTTACCTTGTTCTTGATTAATTATATTAAAAATTCTTTGCCGCGAATTCTTTGTTTGAGTTCTTGCAAAAGATTTTAATATATTCGTGCTTAATAGAAACGCTTCGTCTTTTAAAAACACATAAAGCATTATTGTGCCCTAGAAGGGGATCATTTTCTGGTAAATTTTGTTTTTCCAATAACTCTTCCAATAATATTTTAAACCGAGTTTTTGCAAAAATTCCTCCTTCAGATATTCCTTCTTAAGAATTATATATAACTTGATACAGGATGTTTCGTGAAAATCAGGCCGCCTGAATATCTTCTCTATTAGTGATAGTACAAAATTCCTGACGTAACTTAAACTGATTGAAAAGACGAATCGGATGGAAGAACTATTTTTTTTTTAAATATCATTCTTTTAATGTTTTCCCA